GCATAAGATCTAACAGTGACAATATCATATAAATAAAATGACCTGTAATGGATCTTTTGACCTTTTGTGTTCTTTCTAATAACCTTGTAATATACTCTATATTATATTTAATTATTACAAAGAAGCATATATTCATAAGTATGCATAATTTTACACATATTGTTTCGTCGAATTTTATATAAAGTAACTCAAAAATGTTCATAAGATATTCATCATGAATATTATAATTTGACATCCTCACTTGTCAATAACGTGTAAGCACTATCTCAGACAGACGACAACTTTATTTGCACTCTGTAGTATTCACTAATGTCAACCAGACCCGTTAGTTCAGAACTTCGTTAACCTAGATCTCCAGATCAACAGTATCTGCACTCTTTGATGTTCTCCGTTAGTAAAACCAATTAGTAATGTATAGAAATGTTGTCGATTTGGAGAAGAAGAAGAAGCGTATTTTTAAATAAATATGTAGTATTTCTACGAATATATGCACTACATTGACTTCATCATACACTAATTATTTTGATTATATATTAATCTGTTTGATCACTGAAAACAACGTAATGAATGCGGATCGTGTAGAAATATTCAAAAAGAGATTAATGATTATTCATTACGTAAAAAAAACATGTGATCAATAGTATTTGTTGTTTATCTTTATTAATCGATTGAATTTTATCAAACAATTTTATTTCTAATGATAGATCTATACACTGTGTTTTTATTTTGTACAAGTAAAGTTCGAATGAATTCTTCGAAATTATCATTTCTAATTAATTATTTTTATTTGTTTAAATTATTCAAATCTGTAATAATTATTTTATAGATATTTATTTTGATGGATTAAATGATATTAAATCTAATGATCGTGATGTTCATAAGATTCGTTGCATCTTTTCTAAATCATGAATTATTAAACTTATCGATCTGTCAAAAGCAACTGTTTTCGAGCAGTGTACTGATACTTTATGTTGCTCACGAGTTTAAACTTATTTTTTATATCTGCATTTTTCCAACTCTATTATTTGCAACATAATGAACGTGTCAAACTGATTAGAGAACAATAATATATTAAACTACAAAACAAAAAAAAGAAATTATTATTTGAGATATAATTTTTTCTTTTCTTTTTGTCTATTTGAAATGCTTAAAACATTATTGAAATATTAAAAAAAACAACACCTTTTTACAGCTAGCATGTATTCATACGATCCCGAATTGGTTTTAATAAATCTTAAGAATCATATTTAAGCAATAACTTTTTCTATTACACTCATCTTTGTTATTGACATACGAATTTCTTATCATCACAAACACTACTTATAGAAGTTATAAATTCTTCTACTAGGACACAATTGAAGTCAATTTTTATGTCAATCTTCATAAATCAATCAAATATATCTTTTATTTTCGGTAACATTAACAGTAAGTCGTAAAAATTTTCTTATCATTATGTAAATCTACATTTTATTCACATTTAATATCAAAATAAATAATAAATTTTGTAATGTATCCCATATATATTCTATTATATCTTCACACTACACATAGATATGATTCTAATAAATTAAAAATTGTTCAATTTAAAAAAAAAAAGTAACAGTTAAGTTTTCTAAGCAAATGAACGATAAACAATACGTCCATTGAGTGGCATTAGTGGTCGAAAATTTCTAGTAATATATCCATTTTTTGTTTTGTCAGTTTTACATGTATGTTTCAATTGACGTAATTGATTAAGCTATCAAAATAGATTATAATTGTTTTGAAGAGCAAAAAAATTTTGCTTTTTGATTTTATACATACTTGACGTTTTGAAATACCCATTCTATCTCGAAAAACTATCCAACGTACACTTTCATAACACATTGGAGTTGTTAATGAACCATCATATGTATAATAATTTTGTATATTCTCTGTAATTATTTTCTTATAAATTAGCTTTTAAAATTGACAAAAAAAAATAAAAAAAAGATAAATATTTTACCAGGCATTAAATTTCTCAATGAAATAACATTATAATCAAGATTTATTTTGTCTCCTTTATATGAAATCTTTGATAAATAATCAAATAATTTACCAATATCTGGATTATCACTTGATATAATCTAAATTGAAAAGAGAACAAACAAGTACAGTTTTTTTTTGTTTTCGAATACGAACTTTTATTAATATAGCAAAAACAAGTAAACCACCAAATTGTTCAGATACCATAGCTTCTTGTGGAGTTCGATATTGATTTGTATTCCATGTCACAATATGTAACTATATACATATATAATTTATCAAAATAATAAAATATTTATTTTCATTACTTCAGCTGGTAGACGAACACCATCGATAACATGTTCTGAACCTTCATTATCATTTGCACCCCAATGCATATGAAATTGTAAAAATTGATATTCATTAAGTACAGGACCACCAGTAATATCTAGAAGAATAATAATAATTATTTAAATATGAATTTAATTAATTAATTAATAAATACATACAACTATAACCTTGACCAGATACTTGAAATGAATGACCAGTATTTTCAAATGTTTGACAACAATTTTCATCAGTATCAAATATAAGTGGATGTCGAATAAGTACAGGTTCATATTCACATAGATCAGTATAGATTCGTATTGGTGATTGAAATTTTTTATATTGTAATTGAGGAAATATTCGAGACCATTTATTAGGTCCTATTTAAAATTAAACATCATAATAAACAGAAATGTTTATTTTCATTATGTAAAGTTTTTATCATATGAATAAGAAGAAAGTCTTAGTTTCTAATAACTCTCTTTAAATAGTATGAACAAAGAATAATATCTTATAAAACAAATCTATATTTAATCAGATTAATTCGAATATGTTTCTCAATTTACATATAATATTCTATTTCAACAGCAATAGTAGACATTCGGATTTTGATAAGCAGCTAGATAATTTTAGTTAGAAAAAAGAAAAAGAATCTTCGTTACCATATAATGCCGAATAATCCCAATATGGTTGTAATAATTTTAATTTTTCTTCAGCTTTAGTTTTTTTATTATGATTATCTTGTCGATAAGTAACAGATGCTGATCGTTCAGATGTTGGTTTTTTTGATCGACGAATTTCAATTTCAATTCCATTCATTTCAATTAATATTGATGAAAATTTATTCGAATCTGTTGGATTCTATATGATAATTTCGATGTGTCTTTTTTATATGTCTTCATTTCTAAAATAACTTACGGATTTTAATGGTTTTAAATTAATAGCAATTTGATCATCACCTGATCCAATTACTATAGATGATTTATCTTCATTTGACATTGTTTTCATATTCATGTAAATCAATTCTTGTATAAAATCATCGATAAATCTTAAGTTTTACAATCATTTTCTTTTGCATACAGAAACAAAAAAAAAGAAAAAAATTTCTTTAACTTTATATTATCATCGAGTCTTTTTTTCTGCAATATATATGCGTATAATTCTTTCTATTAGTTCAAGAAAAGATAAAAAGTATCATAACAAGCAAACTTCCTGTGCTTTTAACACCAACTGATTAATTTATTAAGATGATAGGAAAAAAAAAAACAAATTTTGATTACTCTATTCATGAGTATGAATATTTATATTGATATTAACAAAATTTATTTATGACTATCTAGTCTTTAGATTTGATTCATTCAATAATGTATTTATTCTAAATACTATAATAATTAAAATTATAATCTTTTATTTTTATTATTTCATTAAATAAATATCAAAAAGAAAAAAAAAATTTCTTTTATTCTAAAGTTTAACATGTTTCTTTTTATTTTCTCATATGATTGAAATAGCAGAAGAAATAATATAATTATTCTCAATGATATATTGTATTATTTTTGTTATGAAATGTAACTAAAAAACAAAAGAAAAGAAATAGTTAACAACAACCAATATTTTTCTTTTATAATAGTGACTTGTCTCGTTTTCTTCTATGAATAAAAATGGGATTATTGATGTGAGAATAATGTACATATGTATTGCCACTGACAGTCTCAGTCGACAACCACATCATCAAACAGACATACAATATAAACAGGTAGAAATATGAAAGACATGTACAATTATTATTTTGGTTTCACTAGTCAATTTCTTTAGATTATTAAAATTGACAATAGACTAAATCATGTCAAAAGATAATTTACTGTCTGCTCGATGTGAAAAATTGCCTGCTGATTATCGAGATAGTTAGCTTTTGTTTTTTTTTTTTGTTAAATATTTATATGAAATCTTCTATGATAATATTCTAGTACTTGAAAAAAGACGTTGTCAATCACAATTTAATACACATGAAAATTTACAATCTCCTTCATTACAAACATTCCGACCAGCATGTGAAATTAAATTTTTATAGTAGTTTTTTTTGAAATTTTTATTTGATTTTATTTTTATTATAGTAACAGCTTATTGTGCACATTGTAAACTTCCATTATTAATTGATGTTACTACGCATGAAACAACAACTAAAACTCGTGCATCGGTGCGATAAAAATGAAAAAAAAAAAGAAAACTAATGCTCATTTAACTGTTATTTTCTTTCATATTTAGAGTACACGTAATAATCAACGTGTATGTCAAGGATGTACGGAAGATAAAGTCAAAAATGTTCGTACTCCATCAAGTCGTTTATTTAGATCAGCTTCTAGTGATTGGACAAATGTAGGTGATAAAATTGGTAAGAATTAGTTTTTTTTTTCTTTTCTTTTATTTTTTTTTTACATTCTAGAAAATTGGTTTGAAACAGCACGTACACCAGGTATATAATTAGATTGATATTAGAAAAATAGTATTTCCTTATCTATCTGACTGACATAGGAGAATCTTTTCTTTTTGATTTGAAACTTAATAAAACTAGAAAAAAAAAAAAATCTTCATTTCTGCAAGATCTCTTTTCTCAACAGATTTAATATGCGTGACAATCTATTCTACTACACAGATTTTACATTCAACAATTCCCCATAAGTTTGTCAAGGACAAACAAGGTCGAGTATGCTCATTCATCAATAATTTTCTATAGTATTAACAGCATTTTGAATAAAATTAATTTTTAACTATTCATTTCTATTCTATTGAAGTGTTACATTTTTAAGGTCAGCTACTTTTTTGTTTCTAGACTATAAGTAGTATTTTGTGAGAGTTACTGAATATAGACAGAATACATGAATTGATCGATAGAAAAGTATTTACATATATCTTGAGCCAAATTGAACATTAAACGAAATAATTTTGACTTTTTTTAAATACATTCTAATTTCTTCTGAGTAAGAAAAAAAAATCTGAGAGAATACTCACCTTATATTTAATCATAAGCTATTATGAAAAAGTATTGCCGTTGGATAACCAAATACAATGATCGACTAGTTTCGTATAATTATTTTTATTAATATGACCAACGTTTTGACATGTAAAACTACATAAGTTATGATGTTGAGATAAAAAATTAAACAAAATAATATCTTTCGTATATTTGCTTTTTCGCATAATTACTTTATTTTCGATTTTAAGCATTGTACAGACAAGATGTTATGGCAAACATAAATATTCTATCTTGGTTTTTTTTGTATATTATTATTCATGTTGTCCTTGTTAGTAGTTGTTGCTTTTTCTTTTCCTTTCTTATTTTTGTTCTATCTATCGTTCAACTCTTAGATCTTATCACTATCATGCTACTTGTTAATTTAATTTAAGAGCTATTTGAATAGGGAAGTATGGCAAAAAAAAAAATTAATTAAATTAATTCAGAATAGAATCTTTTTTTTTTCTTCTATATAACATGTATGAGTAATTGATTTTGTTTTTAACATATTTTTTTCTATATACATATAGATCAACGAGTTGTCTACAACTTTTTGGAAAAAATTAATAATAACAATCAAGGAAAAGAATTGGATAGAACATTTGATTCAACGCAAGGGAAAAGTCTCGATGAGATATTAGATAATTTAAAAAAGTAATTTCAATCAAAACATCTTGTTTTTGTTTTTGCTATTTTGCTAAGATTTTTTTTTTTTTAAATAGATATCGAGCACGTTTTAATTCATCTCGTCCTCAAAAAAACTTTCAACGTGCATTCGAATCAACAAGTTGGCGTGTTATGCGTCATCCATCAGCAACACCTCGACAATTTAGCCGTTATAATGCTGTTTATGGTGATGATGCTTCACGAGATTTTCGTATTGGAACGGTATTTACAACAACAGAACCAAGAATTGGTTCAACCTTTTTATTACATCCTGGTTGGGTTTAAAAGAATGAAAAAAATTATATTAACTTTTTTTTTCTTTTCGAACAATATATACACAAATCGACATTTTTATAATATAATTAATATATAAATTTTTTAAAGTAAAGGACAGATCCGCATGAAGAGCCAAATCAGCTCTCTATCAATTTTTCGAATAAAAACTACGTAGTCCTAGGTAAGGGATGATGGATACTTGTTAGGTAACTTTTTTATGTGACACGGAAAAGATCTAATATCTCTATAGGTCACGACATGCTCTTCATAACACTCAAAGTAGAATTACTTTTTTTCATTTCTGAAATCGACTCATTAAACTGTAACAAACTATATTATTCAAGCTGAGAATGTAGGTAGGTGTGGGTATGAATGTATGAATTTCCTCTACAACACCCACACATCCCACCTACCTAAATTAAATATGAAAGTTTGTTACCACTTTCAACAACGTAGCACACTTTTTTAATGCTATCGATTAGCCAATTAAGAATTCTTTCCTTATTTTCAAAAAACAATGTTTGCTAATTGACGCATCGTCATTTCTCGAATCAGCTAGAATTGAGTCTACAATATTTAGCATGTAGCTGTCACTATGGACAATCTATCATATGTATCCAGTGTTTTTTGCTTTGTGAAGCAATATAGCGACCACAGCAGTCATGTGTCGTTCGATGAAATTCTGACGATCAATGTATTGAGAGCCAATGTATTTTGGAATGAAATTTCTCATCATAGTTTTTTGTCATTGATATTTAATGCTCAAAAAGATCTTTAATATCACCTAATTATCAGATAAGAATGCTTGAAAACTATGTATTACTCGGCTTTCGAACAACTGCATGTATTAGTATCGCATGATAAGTTAAAATTAGTTCTATTAATGTGGATATATGTTTGTCAATACAGCTCAGTTACAAAGCACATCCTTCCAATAGTTTGATGGTTCAAATATAGAGTTCTTAAATCTTTTTTGACTACTATCGTTCTCAAAGAAAAACTTTGAAAGACAATAATGAAAACATGTTATACGCAATGTAAGAAAATGTATGTACAACGTTTAACAATAAAAAATCAAGATTTGACTGAAATTCAAAACCAATATACTTATCAACAAGACTACTATTAATATTCTACGATCAAGTATAGAGCTATCCTGTACCAGATAGTGAAAGTTCACTGCAGTTGCATCGTGTTTCTATGATAAATTTAAATGACTTCTAATGTTATTGGATAAAGAAAACTAGTCTATATGAGTTCTTTCATTGTAGTTCGCAATCACGTATACGGATGAGCTTTTTGTTTACAGTTAACATTCTTAATGATACTGGAAGAGTGAATATTTCTTTTCGAAACTATATTCAAAATTCTTCTATTTTTATTCACATATAAAAAAAGATAAAAGTTTTCTATTGAAATACTAAAGCTTAAAACAACTGAACACCGCAAAATACAATCTTAGCTAGAACCTTTTTGAGACGATTCATATTCTTGCAAATATGATTGAAGCTTTTTCTGAATTGAAAGAATATTATTCATCTTCAAATTCCAGAAGAACTCTTCAAGATTCATTTTACAATATCAATAACCATCTATGCCATAGGAATATGCGTCGATTCACTCGACCAATTGTTGCAGCTGCAAATATACAAAAATAAATATCCAAACTCAGCAGTGACAATGATTTCCTCGAACATAAAAAATACTTCAAACAAAACATATTGACAGAAGAAAATTTTAAGTGTGATCAGCGAAACTCGATTTCTGAACTGATCTACATTCGTAATGTAGAGCATTTTCTACGAGAAAAGCAAAAATATTTAAACGGTATTATTATTCTTTTTGGAGAAGTATGAAGACATTGAAAAAGTTAAAGTTTACGTATATCGTTCTTCTTATGTATCAGACATCAGAAATGTTACTGGTGGTAGAATGGCCACTCTATTTTTAAGTTGGTGATAAAAATACTTGGAGCAATCGATTTCCACTAAATTGTGAATAATGTTGTCTTTATGACTCGATAGTATCTAAATCACGATCTATTAGTAAGTGTAGGTTATTATTATTCGTCACTATTTGGTGATAATGTATCAATAATATGTTGTATAAAGTTGTTTGATATTTTTGTGAGTAACTTGACAAGTGTTGATGTTACGGTATGTATAGGTGGCTCGTACTCTTTCGATGAATGTGATAGGTATGCAAATGGAGTGTTGCTGTTATTTCTAGGGATTAAAATGAAAGTGCAGGTTGACAAGGAATTCGTCTCGATTTTGGTATAACTTATTTCAATAGTATCAAAAACAATGATGGAAATATTATAAAATCTTATAGAAAGTTTGAGGAAATTTTCTTTCTATATATAATGATAGTCATAATCGAGTTCTAGAATTCTACAATATTCCATCATTCTGCAGATGATATTATAATATAAAAGATTCGTTGTGTTAAAGTTTGCTATTAACTTTTATTTCTTTTCCTCTTGAGAGCACATGCGAAAAAAAGACATGTGTCTTTACATGTATAAAGACGACTGTTTATCAGAGGGTACAAATACGAAAAGAGAGACACAAAAGAAAGGTATACGTCTAAGATAATACAGTCTGCACTGTAAAAAAGACGCAAAATAATGAACCATTTCACTTTAAAAAGTTCTTATAAACTTTTGAAGAAATTATGCTGTTGTGAAATAACCTTCGAGAATTCATTATTCTATGTATACAGGTAGATTACTCTTTCATTTCTTCAGAACGATTTATTATTCGAAGCACAGTAGCAGATTATTTTACAGGCTTTTTTACTGTGTAGCCATTCTGATAGTTGCTCGGCATTTTATGAGAGGAATAAACGACGATAATTTTTGTTTTTCTTTTCTTCTTTTGATTACCGCGATAGTTCTGCAATATTTCATGACAGCAAGAAAACAAAATAGTCAGCTTGATTTTTCTTCTTCGTTCAGGCATCTTGGCAATCTGTAGCAAGTTTATCGGTGCAATCGTATAAGTTACTTTAGTGGACTTTTCGTTTTTCTCATTTAGTTGTCATGATAGTTGTCATAAATTTCATGAACCAGAGCGAATGATTTGGTTGTTTTCTTTTGCTCACCTTATGAGAAGAATGAAGAAAGTTAGTTTATTTTACTTTTCTTTTTTCTTCATTTACTTATTTTGATATTAGTGTTCTACAGGAACAGGAGCGAAAAACATCGAGATCAATTTGACGTAACACTGTGGAGCAATAGATTTTGACATACTACTGAAGGCTTTTACATCGTTTATTAGTTAAAAGAAGAATAATAAATTGATTAATTATTCATTAGATTCTAATGCAATTATCACTATCTTCTCATCTTGCATGTTTTCATTTTTCATCGTCGTTGTTGGAGTGTTATAGTCTAGCTTTTCTTTTGCATTGTTTAGCTGACGAAAGAAATGAGTTCCTCTAACTTAATGTTGATTAATTTTGATATATAAATAATAATTAGTTTAATTTACTAAAATTCATTTTCAGTGATGATTTTATTTTTAATTTAAGTCCATCTGAAGTTGCGTTAAATGTACCATTGACAGAACTTATTGCCGAGCATTTTACGAAAGCACTAGAATCAGAAAATCAACTTTATTTTTAAATTTTTCATTTAGTTGTTTGAATAGTTGTCCGTATGCTTTTCTTCTCAATTAAGTTCTGCTGATATTTATTGCACATTTGATGAAAAGAATGGAATAAGTTAGTTTACGTATCTTTTGTTTTTTAGCTTCGTTTTTCTGATATTTATCAACCATTTTATGAAGGAAAATAGAATAACTTACTTCACTTTTATTACTTTTTGTTCATTCTCTTCTACTGATGATTTTCGAGTGTCGTACCAAAGAAACAAAAGAAGATAATTTACTTTTTACTTCTCTTTCATGATTTAGTTGTTGTGAGAGTTTTTCACATTATATTGGAAGGAATAGAATAAAATGTTTGAGTTTAGTTGTGTTTTACACTAGCCTTTTTTTGTTATTATACCTGAGCATAGATTGGATGCTATCGTATTTTCAAGCGTTTTGATACTCTAAGAATCGGTTATACAACTCTGTCGTGAAGCTCGGAGAGTTCACAAAATTGAGGCTCCTATTTACCACTTTGGAATTCCTCTTTAACCTTATGATCATCTTGAACGCTTCTCTATGGTTCGTCGTATACCCGTCTATAAATTCTTGACATGGTTGATTATCATGATGAACCGTTCCATATAGTCATTCATAATTCTCATCAGTTCTTCTATATACCCTTTTAATAAGCAGTTTTAAGGATATTAAAAAGCGTTTAGAAAGTTCGTTTACCCTAAGGAAGAGTTTATGAAAGGATTGATGCAGATGACATAAAAAGGATAAAAAAGGGATTTTCATACATTGCAGTTTCGTAAGTCCTTGAAGGGTTTATTATTCTGTGACTTTTTTTTACAGTGTACTGTGTTTCGGCAAAACATTCTTCGAACTATTGATATACAGCACCTTAGAAATATCTTATACCAACGATCATTTAACCGTCAAGAAGGCATTGGAAAAAGCAATAATTCATCGATTCGAGACAGAAGCACCTTTTGGCCTGCTGCTTATCAAGCTCTCTGAAGCATACCCGTTCTTGTTATCGTTCACTGATAGTGATGCTGACTGCTTCAGATGTATCCATTGCGAAGTCGAAATCCTCCACTTCCCTTGAATTATTGCCAACTGCCGAAACGATAGTATTATTCGAGGAAGAACAAAAACAAAGTCAGTCCAAAAGTAATGTCAACTATACGATAGGCCTTTTTCATTCGGCCAAAAGTCAATATACAGAAGGCAGTGTATCAGGTTGTGCTATTTAGGCTACAGGAGCTTGTTTGAGGCTTCTCAGAGGTGAAATACCGTCTGTGGCACTTATCAACGAAATTATCAGCTCATTCACAGCCGATTTTGACATGCAGCATTTAACTATTAAAGAAATCTTGGCTAATGCGGAACGATTTTCACGAGGCCTAT